TCCTAACGTCGGTTTGAAGTGATTAGTTCAGTTTGCGTGTATATCTGTGTTTCGAGGACCAGTATTCCAACAACATTTTTGTTTTCGTTCAATTTGATTTGAGTATTAAATAGATTATAGGTCCGTTATCGTGATCATTTTTTATTATAAGCATGATAACTACAAGATACTACTACTCATGAACACACAATTATTTCCTCTGGAAAATATTGAATGTTTGCATTGTATATTCCAAAGTACAAAATTGAAAATACAAATAGACAAACGAACTGTAACTTCTGTTATCAATATTAGAGTTAATGTAAGTACATAACGTACCTAAACTATTCGTATACAAAAAAGTGATGCTATTTTGGTGTATAAATTAATCTATGTGTCCTCGATATCAGACTTAATTTTCGGCACAGCCACGCGACGCAAGAAGATGATACATTGGCATCTGACCATTGTCTTTTGAAACCATAGCTGCTGTTTTTCCCTCCTTAAGTTTGTTAATGTTCACAATATTGTGCGAGAGTACATCCTCCACTAATCCAATTTCACCAAGATGGAGAACAGTGTCATCGGCGCTATCGGCTAAGGCACGATCAGCTTCATTAGTAACAAGTAAGTCAAACACATCATTGAATCCCCCGTGTACTGCCATCATCACTGCTGTCCGACAGTATATGTCTCTACTGTTGATGTCCACGAACCTACGTCGGCGTTTTGTTTCACAAGAAAGTCAAACACTTTCTCTTTCTGAAGTGCTGACCTCATTACCCGTGTTCTCCTATATGTATCGACAGAGTGCTGAGTTCATATTCACCCGTCCCTTTGGTAGCTTGAATCGTGGAGGCCGGTGTGTATTTTGGGTAGCTTGTTAAATAGTTGTGTTTCTGCAACAAAATATGTTCATATATATCTGGTTATGAATATTATTCTTTTCTATACATACAATTGAATCACCGCAAGTTTCAAAACTAAAATAATTGACCAACTAAATGAAATACATACCCTAAAAGGAGAGAATTATCCTTTATAAAGTTTAAGTCAACTGACAAAAATGTATATGTTCCATCAGTTAACTCCCTCGAAATGATGTGATCTTTGTATATTGTGTAAAAACAATTTTGCCTCGGCACTGTTGCTCATCTGGATAACAGACAAAGGTTTAAATTGTCCACAAAGTCAGTCAGTCACTTCACAACAGTTGCTTTCAACATTGATAGTTTCTGTATAAATACTTAATTCTTTGGATTTGAACCAAAACTCGAGTCATCAAAATACGAAACATACATGGAGAAGATTTTTTAGAGTTAAAAATGCAGTTCGAGAGAATGTAAATACAACAAACAAACACATGCGAGGCAAGTCCATTGTTTACCTGATGGCACATGTCACAGTAGGGAATTGTATGGTACATCATTTTTGTCATAGATGTGTGCACATGTTCTCCAAATGTCTGAGCAAAAGGCCTTGAATGTTGTAACCTATCAGTTTGGTCAAGCAACTTTTGAGCAAGAGTCCCATATCACTTATTGAAATCTTCGTAAAAAGAACATGCTCGGTTTCACCTCATAAGGTTGTAAATTGACCGGAAAAGTTAGAATATCGCTCGACATATGGGGGAAGTTGACAATTGGACAGTTGAATTCATCTCTCCAGCCATACAATTATGAGATGTTTCAGACCATTGATATACCTGATAGATTTATTAATTGAGTATGTTTTTACTCCGCTTTTAGCAATATTCCAGCAATATCACGGCAGGAGACACCAGAAATGGGCTTCACACATTGTAACCATGTGGAGAATCGTTTCAATTCGGGAATCAACACGTAACGAAGGTCAAACTTCAAAATGTCATGAAAAAGGAGTCACAATATTAACAAAACACAAAACATATTTAACTGCATTTTGAACACCAATTGCGGAAAATGCAGGTGTCATCACTTTTGGAAAGAACGGTTTCAACTTCAGTCGTTTGAGAAGAGATAATCGCCTACAGAGCGCGGGGGCATTTTGAGGAGAAAAAGAGGTGGAAATGTAATATATCGCTAAAAATGACACTATTGACAACGGATGTACCTGACCAGAAACAAAATGGCGTGTAATGATAATTGACATATAGTCCAATATACACCCTCAAAGGCCATATTGAAGAAAATGGACTTGAACCTCTTCAACACAACACGACATAAGCTATCTTGACTTTCAATCAGGTGAGCTAAACTGATTCGTCACTATACTTTACAAGAAATTACATTCGCATTACATTCTTGGATCTGTCAAGTTCACAAACACATGGGATTCCATATGTCATCTCAGCCCAAAAGCGTAGATCGTTGCCCATGGGGCATCATGAGTATCATGACAAAATTGTCTGGTCCCGACTCGATTATTTCAGACATATAGATGGAATATTGCTCAAACGACAAAAAACAACAACAGAAGCTTGATGACACTATGTGGATTAATTGTTTTAACACACGGTCTTCACGGTGCGCAAATTATTTCGTCGTTACATTACTTAAACATTATATAAAGAATGTATCCAATACGATATCAATCACAAATTGAAAAAGCAATGGCAGTGCCAGACAATTACTCACGTGATCTTCCATCAATGGTCTTGTCACATCCTCATCTGCATCAGGGCATTTAGCGTTAGATCCGCCTGAGAATAAAAAGATACATTTCCACACATTTATCCGTAATATGTGATATCAGAGGTCGCCACAATTCGCTGTGCAGGATTGTAAAGATTGCCATCACTTTATTCTACACTAACCTGACATGCCGTCATTTAACTGAAATGCTGTTAAAAGCGTAATAAATCCAACGTATATAAAGCACTCACAAAATGATATTGTAGCTGTATGATGTGTTGTTGTGATATAATTTTTGTGATGTGTCACACTTTCGTCTCAATCTCTCTTAAAAAGACATAACACTGTGATGAAGTCACACGTTTGTTTTTTTCTAAATAGGCATCGTGCTTGTTCGAATTATTTGGGAACATTCTTTGACCCTCCCTTGTCTTTTTTTCGATATTGTCTCAAATACCTATCATCGAGGATATTCATTGCTTCGGAAGAGCCGGCATTTATTTGAAGATTTACGTTTTGTGAAAATAGCGTTCGTTTCTGCGGTATGACGTAAAAGCGTGTATAGACACTGAATGCTCAGAGGAGCCATTTTGCTATTCAAGATTGTTTCGTCCGCGCTCTACAGTATTCCATCAACGGTAAGTAGAGTCTGGGATCAACTAAGTCAATAGGGCATCAACCAAGTCAACAAGGGGATCAACCAAGTCAACAAGGCTGACCATGACCACCTGGTCAATTAGATACCAGTATATGTCTGGGGACCTATTCTCACCCGGAATCCCATTGCGGTCTTATTCAAGATTTGTTTTGGTTTGTATGCATTGTATCTCCAGGGCAGTAGGTTGTACTTTGTAGATTGGATTAATTTCCGGAGAATACGCTGTTTAATATGTGTTGTGAAAATGTGTATACATTTGGAGCAAGTTCTGAACTTTTCAGCCGTGTATGTTATATTGTTTTCGTATTTATTTCATTTCCTGAACTCAATTTATTAGCTGTTTTATATTATTGTGAACTTTGGCCTGAAAAGCAGAGACTTGCTGAACTGATTCTTTATCATGTGCATGATATCGTTTTAAATGTTGTTTGAGATTTAACTTTTCCAAGATAAAATTACAGGACTCCGGAACATAATTCATAAACGAACGCATGTTTATGAATCTACCTCATTTACTATTTCTACCGTCAATCTGGTCATGAGTGTTTAGGTGCATCTTAGTCCTACATGGTAATTGTCATAGTCTCGCTTAATCTACTTTTATTCAGTTTTCACGTTACGAATTGAGGTGTAGGAGACGTATGCCAGTTCGTTAACAATCCAACTATAACTGATTACTTACCAGAGTTGGTATTGCTGGAAAAAAAATACAAGATAAAAATGAGACTTGAAATTGATAGTTACACACATCCGTAATACACATGATCAAAACATAATAAATGTCCAATTAAAAAATAATCATGGCTGTCCTACTTGCTGACACTGTCGGCGTTGTATGTGTAACGTATCATAACTTGACATAGATTGTACTAAAATGGTAAACAATATAATACATAGTTTTCCATATAAGTTGCTAAGGACATCCGTACGTTCGTATATATATCCATTGCAAGTGATTAAAACATTATAGCATTGTTGAAACGAAACTGTCGGAATAGCGATAATCATTATGTAAACAAGTAAAGAATAAATGATTTACAAATATGCATGTGTACTAGCTCAAGGCGAGTACTGAATGATGATTGTTGGTATTGTTGTGAAACAGGCAGTCGATTATTCTTTATAAAATAATACTAATTTGGCTTCCTGTTTGAGGGTATTTTCTTTCGCCATTAGAGATGTAGAACAGTGTAAGAGGGAGAGTAAATCTGGTGTCAATTTCTCTTTTTCACCAGTACACATTGAAATGACATGAAGCTACTGGGATCTATCGTTTGATTTGAACGTTCCATTTGGTCGCCTTTTACGGCCAGCATGTTGGTTGTTGGGGACTTACCACAACCCGGAATCCCCCGGGTAGTATATGTAGAGAGTAAGCTGTTGTGTCAATGTATGGCAGGCATGAAGTAATATGAAAGAGATAAGTGTATGCAAATTTCAGGTTTCCTTACCGATGTTTGCTGAGTCTCTGCCTGCAAAGGGAATAATTCAAGATGCAACGACCTAAACCAATGTACTGACATATATGACATGAAACGTGTATGCATATATATGCTTGATTCCTTTTTCGTCACTCTCACTTTTACGCACAAGGTTTGTAATTATAAGGTTTGTAATTATAATAATGTCAAGATATGCACTTACATGTATGAACCTTTGTCGGAATTCGGAAATAATATTGGCATAAATGATTTTCAGAATCATGGTCAGTGCACAATGAAATAGAATCGAATGCGAACTTACCGCACTTCATAGATTATAGTGACTATAAAGAGGATGGAAACAACAGTGACGGAGACGATCAAAACGATTCGTCCATTGGTTGCTTCTGGCACTTGTGGTGGATCTACTAACAGAATGAAACACCATAGAGTTATATAGAATTCCCCACAATACGTTAGAAGTAGTTGTGTATTTAATTCTCTTCAGTGTGAAATACAAATTAGAAGTAGGATGGTTAATGGACAGTAAGATATAAAACACATGCTCACAATATTTGTTTCACAGGATTACGTTTGGAATATGGGAATATTTTGTGAATAGTAGTGATAGTATGGTGAAACGCTTCGATATCGATTTTGAACTTGCCTTCAAGGTGGAATAGAATGATTTTGTTTTAACAAATCAGAAATATGATGACAATAATACATCCAGTTTTGTGTTTTTTTTATCCTTTTGCATTTGTAGAAAAAGCAGAGTAAAAATAGAAACTAAAACTGACACCTTCACGTGATACCTGGGTGGTTTATTTTTAAATGATAAGAAAATATTCCTCAATGTCAACATTCGAAATAATAATGATCTTAGAAGTAATGATTATCCAATTATGGCAAATATGCGGACCTCGCTTTCGAAATGTCACGCTTGCATTCCAAGTACCAAGTTGTCCGACTCCCCATTGTTCTCGGTGCCTTAGGTTTGGTACCTCCCAATCTGCTGACTGACATTGGGAGAGTACCCGGGTTTGCTACCAGGAATACAGCCCTTCTGACAATCTGGGTAATGCAGATGGCTACAGTGTTTGGAGTCTTCACATTCTCCGACACGTTCTTGGCGAGTTTGACTAGGCAGCGCCTGCTCGGAGAAGTCCCATTCGCTGTCTGGGCAGCGTGTAGAGGGGCAAGGGCCCTGAGCTAATGATGGGCCTAACCAGCCTGGCTGTGACGGGATCACCAAAACCCTCTTTGCTGCATTTTTTAAAAATTTGTTAATAAGATAAGTATAGGAAGAAGAAGAAGAATTTGGTGTAAATGAACCAAAGCTGAACGCATGTACATGTCAATTAATTATCGTACATACCTTCATACACGTCACACATAGCCCCTCTGTAGTTTCCTTTGCAGCCGTTTGTGCACTGACCAGTTTGTTGATTACACACATCACTAATGCAATTCTTGCTACAAGGGATAATGCATTTTTCATTATACCATCCAGGAGCACAACCCAGTAAGCATGTTCCAGAGTGTTTCTCACAATAGATATTCCCGTTAATATGAGAGCGACACTTATCATTGCAACGCTTGTCACAACGTTCTCCGTACAATCCCGGATCACAACGGTTGTCGCAAATTACTCCTGATACTGCAAAAAGACAAATTGTCATCAATTATTTGTGGAGGAACAGTTGTACATAATGCAAAATTCATTAATTAACATATTAATATATATATATATATATATATATATATATATATTATAATTCTCCGCTTGACAATATATATATATATATATATATATATATATATATATATATATATAAGCGATAATACCATTTCCATAGTCATTAGAATTGTATGATTCCGTCTATTTAATAAGCATATGTTTATGAATCACTATCAAATAGTGATGATACCAGGGGTTCGCGAAATGATGAGAGTATCATGGCCCACTGGTGGCACCCGTAACAAACTCACGTAAAGGCAAGTGATTGCATCAGACATATATATTTTGTTACTGATGCATCAAATATGGAAATGTCCTCCACATTTCTACCATAAAAACTAAACCCTTGAACGTACAGGTTCGGGTCCGGGTATAGTTTGCAGTTCTTTTGTAAGAAATACGACAATAACAACTTTTAATTATTGCAAATTCAGCATTAAATTGTCAAATCACTGTATATATGATTACTTAAAATTGTAATTTTGTTGATTTTAATTTCTTCTGTACCTGTAATAAAAAGTTGCAAGTCAAGTTTTATATGGTTTTACATAACCAGTGATAGGAAGATAGAAGATTGGTCTGGAAAGTACTTGATCAAAGAGGAAGAATAATTATTTTCTGGTATTTTCCTGATTGTACATGTTGTAAGACAAATAGCAAAATACAATTTCTACACTCGAGATGCGATAAAATAATACACCGTTAGCAACATCTGTGCCCATTTGCAGAGAGCAGTCTTAGTTACAATCGATCTTAGGCGTCAACGATCAACTTGACAATTACCATACAATTGTCCACCTGCACAAACCGATCTTAGAAAGCTTGTATTTAGCATCGCGATCTTAGTTAAGATCGAAATCTTGAACGGTAGAGGTACACATACTTAAAACTCGACTCTTGTCTACAGTTATTTCCAAACGCACACAGCTTGCTGCGCATACCAGTAATTGAAACGGTTATGACACACAACACGTTCCTCACTCTATCGCACCTTGCACAAATTATAATAAAATCCAATTATATGAATGGGATGATGGTATGTAAAATTGTCTGTAATGATTCTGTCGTGATTTAGGATTTGTGAGTTTGATATTGTAACTAGAGAAATACCTACTTATGTTTTATGAGTGAGTGAGTTTGATTTTACGCCGCTTTTATCAATATTCCAGCAATATCACGGAGGGGGATACAAGAAATGGGCTTCACACATTGTACCCATGTCGGGAATCGAATCCCGGTCTTCGGCGTGACGAGGGAACGCTTTAACCACTAGGCTATCCGACCGCCCCCATGTTTTAAGAACATATTGAAATACGAATATATACATTTATAAATTTAGCTCTAGATTTAGTGACATACTTATTATGAAAATTAAAATATACAACAATAATAATATTTCCTTATAAAATAATACGTAAATGTATGATCGGCAATTGGTTGTCATAAGGTCATTGTTTAATACGTGTCCTTTTAGGTGAGCTTTTCGTACAATGTATACGTTTTGCAGCCATAAGAAAAGAGTATATGACGGCCTTTTCAAAACATAGAAAGACAGGGGACTGTGAAGAATGCATGGAGCGAAAATGAGAATAATAAATATTATTAACGGAAAGCAGTTGTTTAATAGCAGTATAAATTATTTTTAAAAATTATGTTGATAATTAGTTTTAAAAATGGTGACATTTACTTTTGCTACTTATGACACATTTTACAAAAGTTTCAGGTGTCACATCATGTGTATATAGATTTAAGAATGAGAAAGAAATATGTATGATTTTGCATTTTAATTACTTGTATTTTATTGTAGATTATTTTAATAAACTAAAAACTAAATCATTGACACAAATGTGAAACAAAAGAGATATAGGCGGAACTCAGCGGTTTTACACCATTAATGCATTGGGCAAGGTACTCTACAGGCGACAAAGGGAAACCACTCACAACTAGAGTATAAACTAAGATTAGCTGTTCTTGTCATCCAAAAGGTCAAGGACATCATACAGTTTAATCAAATGTAAGGCACAGTTTTAATGGAAAGCAGATTATTTAGGTGAAACACTCCCTGTCTTGCACGTCATTCTGTCAAGTTTATTCTGGGACTACAACGGTCTTAGCTACTTATGAATACAGAACCAGTTGTAAGTTTCGATTGTAGCTTACAATGATTTAAGCCTACAATCGCTTTGTGCAAGTTGATGGGGATTGTAACCGAAGCCTAAAGTCGCGATCGTAAGGATTTACAATAATTGTAGCGATACGATTGGTTTGTGCAAGTGGACCCTGACCTTATCATTACTAGAAAGTTGCACAAATGTATTTGGTAATTATTTCTTAAAAAGTTTTCATTCCGTATTATGCTTGGAAATACATGTAAGCACTTCACAATAAATATTTTTCTTGGCTCCACTGGCCTCTAATAATAGAGAAGAACGAACATTCGACATACTCACCAGTTAGAATGAAAGGTAGGCAGGTAATGGCCTTTACTAAATTGACCATCGTTGACTTTCGCATCTGGAAAAGGTAAAGTTATTACTTGGCACTGATATTACAACATATCACTGAATTCAGTGAAGAATGGATCCGGGGTAGAATAGGTCTTCCGCAACCGATGCTTGCTGTAAAAAGCGACTATGCTTGTCGTAAGAGGCGAATAACGGGATCGGGTGGTCAAGCCCCCTTACTTAGTTGATGCATGTCATCGTATCCCAATTGCGTGGATCGATGTTCATGATGTCAATCACAGACTCGATTATTTACAGACCACCGTCACATAGCTGCAATATTGCTGAGTGCAGCGATAAACACCAAACAAAGAAACAAACAATGAAGAATGATTTAAATGGCTATTGTGTTTCTTCAACAACAAAAAACATTACTCCGTTTAGTCATTTATGTCTTGGTGTAAACGTATTATTATTTTTGGTCAAGTCTATTTCCTGTTTCAGACGAACAGTGTATTTAAACAATGTTTGAATGCTCTCGTTGTTTCTTCCAATCGCCCCGATGGCCTCTGCTCCTACATAATTGGATCATTCAAGTGCCCCTAGTGACAAAAAAGAGAGAACAGGAAACAGGAAATGACATTGCCACATTGATTGTAAATGTAAATAGTGGACATTCAGATCAACAATTTCCACAAACATCACAAAATACATAACAATACGTAGATCGTGTGCCACACTGATTTTCCTGTAACTGAATAATAAATATGGAAAATGCTCTTTGCTTCCTCCACAATACGTTTAGTTAAATTTTAAGTTTTATATTTTCGATCACCAAAAAGTGTTTCTTTTTAACATTTCAATTAGTACCAAAGTGAACAATCCTAAACCAAATAGGGGCGGTCGGGTAGCCTAGTGGTTAAAGCGTTCGCTCGTCACGTAGAAGACCCGGGTTCGATTCCTGACACGGGTACAATGTGTAAAGCCCATTTCTGGTGTCCCCCGCTGTGATATTGCTGGAATATTGCTAAAAGCGGCGTAAAACCATACTCACTCACACTAAACCCAAATGAAACATATTGATCATTTCCAGCACTTACTTTCTGTTCCAAAATCTTAAACAAAGTGGAGCTGAAAAAACAGATCAGAACAATTAAATAAATATTTATTTTATCTAAATTATTACAATGTAGTTCTTTCTATACATATTTTAGCCTCATCGATAAGACGTGTAACATATCATCCAAAAGATCTACTCGATCCTTAATTTGACTTTTTACTGTAAATAAAAGTCCCTTGAAATGTCATGATATATGATTATATGCTAACAGTTTCTTGCAATGGTGATAGCAAATTACTTTTTGTGTGGAAGAAATTATGAAACATTTTTGTTCCTTCTCTCGCCAATATCTTACAATATTTTAACTTTACGAAAACAAAGGCCATCAATAATATTACTGTAACCTCGCAAGGAGTATCTTCGTAGTTGTAACATTCGATTATATTGACTGTAAATTAGTTTCTTATGACGCTTTTGCAGTAATCTAATAGAAGGATCGTGATTGGTCAAGGTCAAGCAGGTGACCTAAGTCAGCGAATCATATAACAGCAATGGATTCTGTCCTCGTGTATGATATATTTGTGATTTAGACGGACCTCTTGTTGACTCCCAAAGTTGACACTGCTTTAACATCAGAAGTCACTAAAAAAGAAAACCCAACCCTACTACGATCAGTAGCTATCACTAAAATTCAAACTACCTGGGACAGCTGGGCCCATATATACACTGATGGATCCAAGAATCATTCAGTTCGCTTGCCTGATGGTCAGTCAGTATTCACGGCTGAATTGGAGGCACTTCATCATGCACTCAAACTCATTCCGGAACTTCCGGAAGCAAAGGCAGTCGTCCTATCAGACTCGCTAAGTGCACTTCGGGCCAAACACAGTCAACAATATTCTGTACGAATATACAAAACTATCGAACCAATTGCAAGGGCAACAGGTGGAGCTGTGTTGGATCCCCTCTCACATAGATATTCATGGAAATGAAAATGCAGACTCACTGGCGAAGCTAGCTCTAGACAAAGCGGATATACAGCCTATTCCCTTTAGTAAACTAGAGATAAAAAGTAAAATCAAAGCCTCCATAGCAGAAAGATGGCAAGCCCAATGGGACGCAAGTAAGATCGGCAGATGGCTATACAAAATTCAACCCAAGTTCCATCAAAAGCCGGGGCGGTCGGGTAGCCTAGTGGTTAAAGCGTTCGCTCGTGACGCCGAAGACCCGGGTTCGATTCCCGACATGGGTACAATGTGTGAAGCCCATTTCAGGTGTCCCCCGCCGTAATATTGCTGGAATATTGCTAAAAGCGGCGTAAAACCATATTCACTCACTCACTCCATCAAAAGCCAAACTCATACTCAAATGAAAGGAAATTGCTATCTCACGCCTCAGACTCGGTCACAAAAAGCACTATGACAAGGTTTGTTCATCTTGCAATCAGGCTGAAACCATTGATCACGTGTTACTAGAATGTCAAGACCATGCCCCAGCCCGGGCTAGGTTAAAACAAGAATTGCAGTTAGATCCGCTATCTGTCAAATCTCCTAAAGCCAAGAGATGCAATAGCGAAGGCCAAACTAACTCTATTTCTGAGAGATGGACAGCTACTCGAACGTATGTAAACAGAGCAGCCAAGGATAGAAATGAAACCATATCAATATAAGAAAATAGAAATCATATCAATACAAAAACAGAAATTATGTGAACACCAAACTCACAATAGATAGGTGTACCCTACTCACACACAGGAGTCCCAAAGAGGGACAGGTCAGCCGAAATTGCCTAGGCAGAAGGCGACCTCCTAAACACATGCAACAACAACAACCTCTTTGGTTAAATCATGTTATTCTGGATGTTGTAAGCCGGAAAGTTCGATCTACGTTTCAAATATGGAACTTTGTGGACATAACGTACAAGGTTACAACCTTTGACAAAGATTTCTCATGCACATAATTTGGCATTAAACATCGTGTCCGAGCCCACAAATCGAGGCGACAAATGCCGAGATGTCATTTGACTTACAGAATCGCACATAACTACACTTAATTTATTTACGAATTGCATGAAATGTCTGTATATTGCTCTTTGACATTTCAATATGGACCCGTTGTCGAAGCATGTGTCCCAGATTTTACTTTTCAATAACATTGCGGGCAAATAGTTAATACTTTTAAATCTATCGATACAATATGCTAAATTGAACTGAAATACGTATTTGTCAAACGTGATAGCTTTAATAAATGAATGATATGACAGGTAGGTTCATGATACTATATGCTATTTTGACGTGGCTGCGGTATGGCAGGTACACCGACCTGCGGTGTTGAAAGAGTTAACAAGCGGAGTACCTTGAAGTTGGGCCATGTTTCACAGTGCAAACTCAGTGTTATGATTCATTTAGCACGTTAACAACTTAAAACAAACTGCTGAAATTAAAATCAGCCCGAGAACAAATATACAACTTTGGTCCAAATTGCCTTATTTTGATTTTGCCAATCCAAACTGAAATCCCTATTCATAATTATGCATAATGAGAAACGTGTAATTCACGTGAATGAAGAAACATATTAGCAAGAGGAGAAGCACAATTTGTATATATTGGGATGCTTATTGCCAAAATATCTTTTCCCCAAGTTTCACATCATTATTATCAATGATGAATTACAGCATTTCACATATTGTTTTCTCAATAAACTTCAGATGACAGTTCCCCTGACCCCTTGAAGATAGCGACGTAACTATCCATCGTCACCACCTACAGTGACAAGGATCAAGAAATTTGTACACATTCTCTCTAAATCCCTTACAGCTAACAAAATAGGAATCTGATTTAAACAGCAGAAAATCCACTTCGGTAAAATAAAACATGCTCATAAAGGATTTCAGATAATCTTCCCCAATCACGGCCTCATTTAACACAAATCTTTCAATTTACGGTAACCCACCAAACCCAAACTGGCAACTTTTCACTCCAGGAGTAATTAGGGTAAACCCAAAAGAAACTAACGAAGACCTAGAAATGTACACTAAAGACGCTAACAAAAATCAGGATATGTACCCTCACCCCAAAATCGCAAGCACACGTAGAATAACATCAAACAGAACCGGTATAATATCTCCAACTCCAATAGTCATCGTAAATTTCCATGAATCCGCAAAACACCCAGAAGTCCCAAAGTTTTTGTCCTTCGGAGCAAAAACCAAACTAGAAGTCAAACCCTACATTACACACGTCAAACAATGTTCAAACTGTCCCCAGTACAACCACACAGCTAATCAATATAAATTTCAAAAATCTAAATGTAAAACATGCGCGCAAACAAACTGCCCAGGGACATGCACACCCTGGTGCCTTCACTGTAAAAGCATAAACCACTCCTCACTCTCCAATCAATGCCCACACAGACACACCCTAACACAACAGGCCAACAAACACATTAACATAGACACGGCCAAACTGCAAACTAAAAGACAAAAACCGCATACATCCAAACCTCTCCTACCCACACCTCAACCAAACAACATCCCCTACACACACATAAATAAACTCCCAGACTCTGTATGGGACAACACCTCGCAAGGAGCACACCCTGCAATCAAAACACCCATCCCTCACACCCTCCACACATCCACTCCACAATTCTCCCCCATACCACCCGCAGTCGCAACATCCACACCCGCACGCAAAACAAATCGCAATCCTACCACCATACCACATCCCAGCACCAAACACACCACAGCCTCCATGGCAGCAACAACTCAACCCAAGCAAGCACAACCCGAAAACCCAGACAGTAGGTAAACTACAGCAAGACCAAACATACAAACTCAAACACAACCATGCACGCAAACCACCCCCATGGAGTGTGAGGAAACTAAAACTAATCAAATCGAAGACAACGAATATAAAACCACGGAGGAGACTAACGAAATCACCTACTCAGCCCCCCAAATACCAAAATTCTCTAAACGCAAAATCCCACCACTATCAAATAACAAACTAA